TCGTTGAGCTAATTGTGTTTCCTAATGTTTTAGCTGATGTACTGAAATTGATAGAAGATTAAAGCCAATCATTCGGCAATCCTCGTTCTCTGTTTCTGGCACAATCATTCGAGTGCGCAACACTGAGAACGGAAGAACAAATATGAACCAACATGAAAACAAAGGAAACTGTCGGTTTGTTCAGTGTTGTGAGGGCATAAAATGTCTATCACTTGCGCAGACCAGAGGGTTTATTTGACGACCTCCACTTTGAGACTTTGACTCAAGCCTAACCCACAAAATGGTGGGAGAATCTAACTTTTTTCCAGGCTGCACCAGTAACTCAGGTTTTACTCGCAAAGGAGCAGAGTTTAGGTCATCCTTGGGAAGCCCTATCAGGAGACGATGAACCAAAAGTCTAGGCAAGCTTAGCCCACGGGCGCAAGGAGTGAGGCGTAGAGGGTCTGACATCTGCTGCCATTGCGCTTGCAGTCACGGTCAACTGCTGGGGAATCCATATGTTTTTACGACCGACCTTTCCCAGTCCCCCTTTCCTCAAGCAACGACAGCACCGATGATATGCTTAATATGGATATGATGGTTGTCTGGAGAAAACACCTAAATTCCGTCACACTCCTATCTAAAGGAAGAAAGGACTTCCCCACAGACCATCTCGTGGTCTCATTTCCGTTTTTTCGGCTCACAAACTGCACACCCAAGTAAAATGGCTCCAGCTGACTCAGCTTTCTTCACCGAGGAGAAGTAGAATAAGGGAGTCAGAGCTACGCGTTGAATGCGACGGTCTACTCTGTTTAGATATGTTTGTTCAGCTTTGATTCAAGACCGCCACTGACTGTGACACAGCCATATATGTGATGGTTAAAACCCTTAGTTTTTCTTGTTCCGCGGTCGGCATCCAGGGAGACGGCAGTTACCAAGGCGAACGAGTTGACGGGCAAGAGCTTTCATGTTTCGTTTCCAAATCATGGGATGATCACCTCTTGGGCGTCTCCATCCGATATAAGGTTGGACAAGGGAAGCTTTGCGAAACAAACGGTCCTCTGGCATACGAAGTATATGACCTAAGCGGAGTAACCTATGGAGTATGGCATGCTGATCTACTGAGTGGACTCCCAAAGACCATTTGGCACACCTCAACAGTACAGATCTGATATTCGCACCTAACTCGCACGCACAATACTTCGTAGACACATGCTCAAACATAGAGGGCCTCCGAATATCATCCTCTCGTAGCGGTTACGTCCCCGATCTATTATTACTACTACTAATATTAATAATAATAGTGTTAGGGGAACTGTCTCCGAACAAACATATTCACATTGTTGACTATAACCTATGTTTCAATGCTCAACACTCCTCTCTCTCTATTTCAGCCTTTCATTGTTCCATTGCATTCTTGATTCTTTTGACTCTCGATATTGGCTGTTCCGTTGCTGCAGTAAAATTTCCTCAAAGCTATTCGTCTTCTCAATTCCGTGTGTAGCTGACAAGGTTGATTGACTGAGCAGTAGAGGACATAACAAATAGTCACCATAGTGATCCTTTAGCTGTAATACTTTCGGTGGATAGCCACCACACCACCCAAAAGGAGAAACATGGCCGAGATACTGTCATGCTGCCCAAGCCTACCCAAGAGCAGAAGTTGGGTTCGAAGCACGCACCTTGGGTCACTAAGCTCGCGCACCAACCACTGGGCTACCTCGAGCTCTGAACCAAAAAAAGACAGACCGGACCGCCGTAGTGTACACTCCACCCTTGACAGCCAGGCTTGAGTCACGTCAGCACAACAAATGTTGGAGACTGGCGCCGCCGCATGCCTCGAGATGATTGATCGCAGTACAGAGAATTGCAGCTATGTGTGACTTCTCTCCTTCGATCTTGGTAGAATGGTTGAGCCTTCAGGAATGGAGTCAAAGCCAGTATAACCCGTGAGGACAGCACCATTGGTATGCCTTACTGACGACAGTGCAACTTCCCTACCGCTTTTTGGCATCTTGCTCCACTCACTATGGTATATCAAAAGGCATGGTAGGTGGAGACAGCTACGTTGGAGACAAAGAAAGACTATACAGTCGTATCTACAGGGTTGTCACAGAATTTTCTACAAGGTTGCGCTAGAATCTCCGTGAGGGGGAGTGAAGCGTCAAGCTATAGACGCCCGATCCAGATTAATGGATTGATGCACAGAATCGAGGCCTTCGGGTTTCTTCTTGTCGTCCAGCTCACATTCTGAGCAACCAAAGAATATCTTTGTTCAATGAGTAGCCCGCATCTGAAATCCGTCCAATCGACGCAACATTCGGTTACTAAGAGCGGCTCACCTATGGACGCACCTCTGAACGCAACTGTGTCAATTCGTGGGGGTGAAATCGCATTTTGATCAATCCCCGAGGCAGCCAGCACGCTGATATGGGATCTCGTATCCTCCAGTTCGGGGGTATGTCACGGGGCCATGACTGAAGTCGTTTTCCTTGATGTGGCCGTGCCTACGACCTGATTTGTGCCTTCTGCTTGACGAAGTATTCAACCCTGCGTCTACCGTGAATAGCATCCCCAATATCCTCGAATCAGTATCGGCCACTGTGTGACTGTTGTGGTGTGCTTTCTGCCGACACCTCTCCCTCGACTTTCCGGATGGTAGTGGAACGATCGCGCATGAAACTGGGACTGAAGGATTCGGATCGAGGTTACAACGTTGCAGTTTGCTGGGAGGATGCATCGAGAGGGACTCCAGCGAGATTTACCAGGACTCAGGAGCTAAATAGCTCCTGCGTTGCGGACGATCCCAGTGGTCTCCGTCAGCATGTGGCGCACTCAAGAACGTATTGCGGTCATGTGCAACTATCATATTAAAAAGGGCAGTGAGGCGTTAATCCAAGAGTTGAAGCTGTTTAATCCAACCCAGACTCAATACATCAAGGCCTGCGTAGTTCGTGAGGTAGCAAGCACTATTGAGTTGAATCCTAGTGAAACCTACGGAGTCGTTCGGCTTTTAGGTCAGCTTGAGGCTTCCACTAAACGCATTACGAACGGTGCACTCTGTGTGTTCCACTGGTGGCCTCCCAATTACGTCCCAGGTTCGTTTTGAAGTCAGACTGAGGTCAGAACCTGTATCAAGTTGGAGGGTAGCTGGTCTGCCACTGACACATACTGTGACGAATGTTCATCGGCGTCGCCCCTAGACGGACCGAAAAGCGGAAGCAGCTCCTCAACCCATTTTGGGTCGGCTCCAAACTGCGTTCAGACAAGCATCGTCCTCAAAAAGAAGTAGTCAAATATCACGTCGATTTGGTGGACGTGTCGTTAGCTAGCTATGGACCAAGACGCAACACTCTGATTAGTAACAATGGGGACCAATCAGAATCACGGATCGTAGCTCGCTGACTTGTATAAGCTCATGGCACCCAATATGGTGAATTCGGATTCTGCTTTTCTAGACGTATCATCTGAAAATTGCACTGCTTCGCCCCTCTCATCCGCTGTCCTTTGGGATGCAATTGTGCGTTTTCCAACATACTGTGTCGTCTGGCCATTCAACTACGTGTTGAACGGTGGCGAGCGGCAGATGCACACGGGTTTAGTATCCACGGTTGCGGCTCGATTGGAACGACAACGTGTTCCGGAAACAAAAGGCGCTCAACCATCGATGGCCATGCATCATACCCACTGGAGTATGGTCTACTTCAGTTTACGGGCAGGTAAGCAGCAAATGCGGCTTGAACTTTAGGCCGCATCCAAGAGCCAGAAGCTCTTCACGGATTCACGGATTGATACACAGGATCGAGGCTATTACCCAAGTTTCCCGGGTCGCTTTTGTTCTTGTCGGTCAGTGGCCGTCGTTCACCTGAAAGGCACAAGTGAAAAAAAGGGTGTAGCACTGCCCTTTATTTTCTCAGTGCGGAGCAGTATGCTCGCCAGCGCGATGATTCGCATAAATAAATGTCTAATAGTGCTTTCATTTGGGTTCCAGAAGGAGTGTGGACAACCGTCGGAGGAAGTGCATTCTGCGCAGCTACTACCCGAAATGAGAAAAAATTTTGTCTAATGAATGTGTGCACCGAGATTGAAAATTTACCTACTGTCTCCCCGACGTGTGTTTGCTGGGTCAAGGGTAAAAGACTGTTTGCCAAGCTTTTTTCAAACAGGGCGTAAGTAAGAATTAGGTTCCCTCGGAGGCGACGGTACTCCAGGGTAAAGAGATCAAGCATCATGGGACGCATTTCGTCGTTCACGGATTTGAGGCCGGCAAACATTCTCGTAGCGGCCCGCTGGACACGCTCAATGAGGGTGACGTCTTTCATGCGTCCTGAGTAGACAACTTGGTTGACGTACTCCAGGAGTGGTCTGACGTAGGCCCATAAAATAGTTGGAAGTTCATGCGAGTAATACGGGAGAAGGTGCGTCGGATCATCCGTAAAATGGTGAATGCCTTTGGGCCGATTTCTCATGGTGCAGTGAGAAGGACACATTTGAGGAGACCCAGATGCCCAAATCCTTTTTGGCATCTATCCTCATGATGTTTTCTGGTCCCTTTTCACCATGCATAACAAAGGCATTCGCTGAATCCCCTCCAAACGACACATGGACGCACTTTTCATCATTCAGAGGAAGGTGCCAGTCCAACGACCACTGCTTGGCAGCGTCTACATCCATTTGGAGGGCGCTGGCATTGGAACTCCAGGATTTCAAGTCGTCCGCAAAAAGTAAACATGGACTCGCAAGAACGTCTGGGAGGTCGTTGACGTAGATCAGAAACAGGAGTGGTCCCAAGACGGAGCCTTGAGGAACTCCAATGGAGACCGGCGCTGGAGAGGAATAGGTTGAGCCTATTCTCACTCGGAATGACCTGTCTGATAGGAACGCCTTGATCCAGCGAAGGATTTTCCCTTGAATCCCGTAAGACTCGAGTTTGTGGAGCAGCGGGACGTGTGGGACCCTATCAAATGCTTTTGAGAAGTCGAAAAATATGGCATCCGATATGAGTCCTTCGTCCTTGGCTTGGGTTAAGCTGTCCATAAACACGAGCATGTTTGTCACGCAAGAGCGGTTTGGGAGAAATCCGTGTTGGGCTGGAGATATCAGATTGCCGGAAGTAGGGTGATCTAGGATAGCTTGCTTCAGAATGCGTTCCGTCACCGTGCATGGCACGCTAGTGAGGCATATAGGCCTATAGCTGCCAGGGGATAGTCGCTCACCAGTTTTCTAGATTGGCTTGACAATCGCTTCCTTCCAAGTAGAGGGAAGGCGGCCTTCGTCAAATGAGTGACGAAGCACCAGGTGAAAGTTATTTGCCAGTGTGGAGGACGTTATCTCCAGGATTCTTGGTTGGACCTAGTCGGGCCCCAACGCGCAGAATGGGTTGATCTTGTGCAGGAGTTGGCGAATGTCAACCGATTCTGCGCGTTGGTGCCCGCTGGGGCACCCAATATGGTGAATTCGGATTCTGCTTTTCTAGACGTATCATCTGAAGATTGCACTGCTTCGCCCCTCTCATCCG